CCCGGCCCCCACGAATGTGAAAGAACAAATCATCTGACAGTTACTTGAAGTGTCATTTGATGAGAGCATTTCTATCCACCGGTAATCTGTCTGTCCGTATACAAGAGTAGTTTTTTTTTAGCTATCAATACCCTACCATGGAATTAGGATCGGGAATTTTGTATTTCTAGGTCAGGTACACACCACAATGAACAGGGTCAAAGGCAAACTTGTTGCTGTGGAAAAAGAAAAAACAAGAGTCATCAGGAGAAGACATATCCCCCCCCGGTCTGGTGTAATGAGTTTGGCTGCTTATACCTCACTCTTGGTTCACTGCCACAGGATTCCTTCAGTTCAGTGAAGAAAACAATAATGCTGTTCAGTATTTTTCAAAATCCCAAATCATCAAAAGACACCAGTTCACCACAAGGCTGATCTGTAAAGCAAGCTTTATCCAGAAATATTCCACGGTATTTGTGCTCTGCTTTGGAAACAAACACAACCCTCATTTTCAGTCAAATCCAACTTGTCGTCATGAAAACATAACATCTGTTTGAAGCAAATGCAAGTGATACGAGAGGTGGAATCTGATTGGTCTATAAGAGAGGCTTAGAAGGGACAAAGCTCATAATAGCCACTGGTGGCGCTATGATAGAGCCCAGGAATTCCAGCCTAGTTCGGCAAAGGTGGAAACTGGACTTTTAAAGTCAGTTAACTCTCTTGCCTCGGGAAGATGGTTAGAGATATTGTCCGAACACACACACACCAGTATGAACAGAGTCAAAGTCAAACTTGTTGCCATGGAAATGGAAAAATTATAACTAGCAAAAATCCACAAATAGCAAAAAAGCACCACTCCAGCCCCTGGTTAATACATGTACCAAGCTTGGATGAGAAATCTTTAACGGTTTTCAAGTTATGCTCCGAAAACGAAATACAGACAGACAGACGGATCAGATGACATTCATATCCCCCCTCATTATATGCCTGGAAACATGAACATGTCGAACGCAACGAAGAAACTATGCTGAATTTCGACCCCTCTGCGGACGGACTGCTACTTATGAAATACTATCTTGTTTCTACTGAACTATATATTTTGAATATACTTCATATTCATGTGGAAACAAATAAACATTATTAAAAACTAGAGCCACCTGAAACATAAAGAAATAAGGGTGGTCATGTTTAGTCAGATCAGAATTCTGTACACAATCTAAGCATGTTTAGAGGTTGGATGGTTGGTTTGTTGTTATACACCGCACTCATCAATATTCCAGCTATATGACGGCGGTCTGTAAATAATTGAGTCTGGACCAGACAATCCAGTGATTGACATCATGAGCATCGATCCACGCAATTGGGATCGATGACATGGATCAACCAAGTCAGCAAGCCTGACCACCCGATCCCGTTAGTCACCTTTTACGACAAGCATAGTCACCTTTTACGGCAAGCATGGGTTGCTGAAGACCTGCTCTAACCCAGAATCTTCATGGGTCCTGTTTAGAGGTAGCATAGCTGGGACCAATGAAGGCATGTATCTGTACTAAATGTTATTCTGCATACCCAAAACTTGCTGCATATCAAATTTCTATATCAATCTGTATGCAGAAATGAGTAGTGGTAAAAAATGAAATCGACGTTTAAAGTTGGATCAGAATTCTTTGAGTAGTCTTAAGAGACACTACAGCTGGGATTATTTATAGAAAGTTTTAGTTTCACAGGCCTTGTCACGGAAATGTCACAAATGCAAAATTTCAATATGGCCACCAGGAATATTTCAAGTTCGTCAAAACAGTTTCCTACGAACTTAACAGTTAACATGGTTAAGGGAAATCAAAAATAATACTTTGAATTATAAATTTTTATTTTTCCAAGACACCCATTTTCATGCTAAAAATCTGTAACCCACCTCCAAAAAGTCTGGTCTGAGCTAGAGAAACACTTGTAATTTACACATTTGAGGTATTTTCCAGTACTTGACACTGACTAAAATTTGTCAGTGGTCCAACCGACAAGCACCAAAAAAAATATTTTGGTTCTGTTGGATCTCTACCAGACACAATGTGCTTAGAGTTTAGACTTGATCTATCGCTGATTTCAAACATCATACAAACTTTCTTCATCTCCAATAACACCACCAGACCAATATATACTATGAAAATATACTAGACTCTGACCAGGGGACCAGTGTTAGTGTCGAGCAATGTTTTCTCAAGTATACAAACATAACGTCATTCATTCATTCAAAGTACATCACTGGCTCTATAAAATACACACTGTCACCATGGTCACAAGGTATAACTGTATTGACTATAACCAGTGTATTTTGGTACCCGACTCCTTGTTGGTTGTTGGTTTGTTGTTTAACGCTGCACTCAGCAATATTCCCGCTATGACGGCGGTCTGTAAATAATCCAGTCTGGGCCAGACAATCCAGTGATTAACATCATGAGCATCAATCCACGCAATTGGAATACGATGACATGCATCAACCAAGGCAGCAAACCTGACCACCCCATTCCATTAGTCGCCTCTTATGACAAGCATGGGTTGCTGAAGACCTTTTCTCTACCCGGATCTTCAAGGATCCACAAGGTTGAAGAAATATGATAGCCAAGCATGACCCGTAGGCACCAGGAATTTATGTTAACCGTTCCAATTCTAACCACATCTTTGTCACAAGGCATTTAGAACCCTGGTCATGTCTACAGCTGTAATCAGATGTCCTGTAATCATTATAACAGGCCTTGAAGCAAGTGTTAAATTGAAGCAGTAAATGAGATCCTACACTCATATTTTGTTACCATGGTTACATGTGTTTAAACGTAAGGATGACAAACGTATTAAAACAAACATGTTTTGTTTCTTAACAGTTTATATGTTTAAACAGTTAAAACAACTTAAACAATTTCAAACTATTTGGTTTTTGAATTTATTATATGTATTTGTACACAAACAACTCACACTTAATGGGGAATTTTGATATGATGTGAGTATTTTATGCAAATAAACAGCTGATCTGGAGCTCTGAAGCACAATACAATCCACCAGTCCCACTGTCAGGGTACAATATCACACAAAGAATCAAGTCACCAAGCCTGACCACTAGGGCTGTTACCATTCACTCGCGTATTCGGTGAATCGAACCGTATTCATTCATGAATTGAATTCGTTATTCGTGGCCACAAGAATCGAATATTTATGAATATGCAAGCATGTGCATTTACATAGAAATACCCATAAGAACATATTATATGCATAAAGACAACACTCTTATACTATTTACTTTGACAGTATTTTGGTAATTGGTCATTGTCGCATTTAAGCAGATACTAATACCTTGATAAGTGCATTATATATATATGTATAATATATTAATAATTAACAAAATCAATTGTCAAATAATTTATGTTGTTATTGCTTCACCGAACATGCTTAATATAACAAATAATACATCAACTGCTGACTTGTTATTGTATTCGTGAATTAATATTCGTATTCATTACCCTATATTCATGATATTCATGATACAAATCATATTTGCCTCAGTGTATTCGTTGCAGCCCTACTGACCACCCATCCATTCAGTCGCCTTGGTTGCTGGGGACCCTAACAGGAATGTATGGTATCTGATGTGCCCTCTGTGCATACAAAGTTTCATCAATAAATATTGAATTTGGACCAAAGTATAACTCATTATTGCCTTAAAAAAAAGATTAAAAACTCCCCAAAAGCAAAAGGCACCAGTTCAGCATTGCCTTATGAGCATAGACAACCAAATATCGTGCCGTTAATGAGTTACGCTACAAAGCGAACCCTGTCTTCTACTTCCTGCCTTGAAAGTGGAAATTCCTGATTAACAAAACGCACAAGTTCTATGCATGCCTGATGAAGAGCTCCAGAAAAACTTTTTGAGCAATTGAGTTTTTACTATAGGCTTTCTAATTTAATTGGGTCATTACATTCTTCATTGGGTAAACAATATTTTTTCACTCATCTATTCATCACTCTATCATGTCTATTGGGTTTTTCCCAAATTGAGTGAACATTTTACGATTTCAAAAAAATGAAGTAATGTTTTAGATGTACATAACTTTTCTAGATATATCGGCTTGACTCAGGAAGTAAATAAGCTTGTAATTGTGTTTCGGAAATTAGCTCTTTTGAACACATGCTGAAAAGGCTTCATTGGGTATTTACGAGTGCTGTTTTTATACATTTGAGTTTTTCATTTAATGCATGCGTTTCTGTACGCAAGTTACTTGATAGTAATTGGGTTTTGAATATTTTAGGAGGGTATTTTACGCAAATACGCAGCTTATCTGTAGCTCTGTTGATGTATATAAAAGTTTCATGAAGATTTTAATGAACGGTTTATGAATACGCTCCAGATACGAGCCCTTCCCTCGTTTGAACTGAGAACCAACTTCTTGTTCTAGAAACTCAAAAAAACAAACTTCCAAAACTTTCTGAAAATCAAAAGGCACCAGTTCAATGTGAGCTTGATGTGTATACATAGTGTGAAGAAGAAATTTTAAATGGTTTATGAGGTATACTCCGTAAACAAAATGTGACAGACGCAGGCCGTTTGTTTATCGCCTGCAAATTTTCTCTTAGGTTTGGGATAGGGCTTGGACGAAACACCAACCTTGTGATCCGATACGTATCATGATACCTTGCTCACGATTCGATACATATCACAATACTTGTATGTGCTCTTATCTGTGGTGCGTGAACCATCTTTTTCTAAGACAATAGACAAATACCCGGCACCCTTATGAGTAACAGTTGGTAGTGTCAAGTATGGCGCGATGGATGAAGATGTTTAAGTTTTCACTACTAATTTACATGTGTAACATTTATTAAAAAGAATAATACATTTAAGGTAAGAATCGATACTTTTTACTTCGTATGCGACGGTGATCTATACTTGTATCGAGAAGCAAAAAATCGTGATCCACCGATGCATCGGTGCATCGTCCCACTACAAGGGATCATAATACAGGTAAACTCACCACACAGGCTGCATCGCACATCTTTCCCTGTTTTGGCCGGATGAAGGGGCTGAAACAACACAACACAGGCTTAATTACCACACAACGGCCACCATGTTGAAGTGCAAATACACATTCTATAGTATGCTTGATTATTGTTGCTATGTTACGATATACAGCAAATATGTGTCACTCAAAATAGTTAAGGAATCCTGATTCTGAGGTGAGGGGTTTGACGTCAGGTTCAAGATTATTGCACTCACATAGCGACGTGCAAGCACCTGTGTGTGCGTGGCTGCTTGTACTAGTCCAGACAGATGCTGATTTATAGTGCTAGCCTTCTGAGATACCATGCTTCAGTTTAACATGAATACCCCACTAAAACACAGCATACAGACTCCGAGCCGACCAGTCCTTGTTTTAGCCCTTAATACTGAGCACCAGGCAGGGTAACAAGTACCTTCTTTTACGTTTTTTGGTATGACGGATATATCCACAACAAAAATAATGCTGAAGCTTCCTATTTCTGTATTCAGAACTCCTTGATCATATTCGCTTTCAAGAAATAGAAACTAGAATGCTTCACTTACTCATACTGAGAATTTAAAAAGCTGACTTATGAAAGTTCACCTGGCAGGACCTCCTGTTATCATCATGGTTATGATCTTCATGCAGAGAGTGAGTGAGTGAGTTAGATTTTACACATCTTTGAACAGTATTACAGTTATATCATGACATGTAAGCTTAAAGTGGGAGGAAAGCCTGAAGTGATGCAGGTCATCTTGAACAGGATGCCTTATGCCACCACTTTGGTGAAACCAACGAGCAGGGATATGGTGCTTACAAATCTAGAAACATAACTGGGGTGAACCAGGATTCAAACCCACAATGACAGGTTTCTGACATGCCCAGGGGACATAACTCTGCACATCAAATGGCGGCATGAAGACGATTCAGACACCTGTGTCCCAATCACAAAGAGAGGTATGGTATCAGAGTAAATGAGATTGAGTGTTGTTGATAAATTTCAAAATTTCAAAGTAATAATATTTGGGGTACCATCCATGAAAGTGGGAGCTTAAGGTTGAACACTGTGTCTACAGGCTGGCCACAATCAGATCCAGAGGGGGTTACAGGGGATCCATATGTAGGCAGTAAAAGTATCTGAGAGGGGGTTTTGATATTTTACAAATGCTGCCATCTAGTAAGCACTGCCAGGAAAAGCCCTGCCCAAAAAAAATTCTTTCTTCACAGGATTAATAGTTCATGCATGGCATTAAGTCTTCAGGATTTGATCCACCAAAAGATAGGTGATGCATGATACAATATACCTTATCAAGTTTTCTTTTGACAGATTTATAACCAACTAAAAACCTAAAATAATAAGTTTTGACAACAAGTAATGAAAAACTAGAACATATTTTCTACCTGGTCCAAAAGCTAACTGTAATTCTCACTGAAACTAATATAACAATTGTCTTTAATCTTTCTATAGTAATTATCACCAATTCACTCCATCAGTATGCTGGCGCACCCATAGCGCATAATTCAAACGTCGGTGGAGCATAAAGTACAACCCATCACAATTGGAGGTTATTTCTGTCCAGCACTGTACTGTATACAGACACTTGATGATACGCGAACGAACCCCGCTGTCAAGCCTAATGCTCATCGCTAACATCATCCATATACAAAGCGAGCATATTGACGGCTAACGCTACAGCATTCCTAGGTGTTATATTGCATCTAATACTTTCAAATATCTACCTGATCTGACGCCAAAAGAAGGTTTGGATGGGTAAAGGCACCGATTGATCACCATCCAAATCATCACCGCCGACAGTCTTTCGCTTGGTCATTTTGAATCCCCTTAGAACGCAGACGGTAAAATGGACGGACCTGCGACAAAACGCAGATAATCACAGACTGTAGCGCTATTTGTGTTCATGCCGACTGTTCGCTTAATGTTTTCCATCGACAGGTCAGTCGTTGTTTATGTCTCGACATTTTCTGAGATTTTATCCTGCGCATCAATGGCTCTTGGGGCTCATTTGCATAATGGTAATATTACTCCGGGAACGACTACCAACAACATGTTGTGACTGTAAGCTTCTCATAACAGCTGAGAAGCAGAATCGATTAATCAAATACCCTTTTATGCAGCGTTAAGGCCGACAAACATTTAGTGCAATCTGATTTTATTTATTACATTTGAAAATTGCAATGCTACACGGTGTAGGAATATGCGGGGATGATATGTTCTGAGGAAAATAGTACATAATTAAAGCCCCTGACCTGGCACCTGTTTACCGGTACTAACATCTATCAATGCTTGCATTATGTAGCGATCTCGTTCGCAAAAAAAAAATGAGCGTGTTCAAATATTTGGACGATTTCAGAGTCACGAGAAATTGATTCGTGTGTGTTTAGAATTAGATTGTTTGTTCGGTTTTATTAAAAGAGATTAACGGTGATAAATTTAGACCTGGGCAATAGGAGAACGTGTGGCGTGCATGTATTTTATCATGTAGATATGTCTTGCCAATGCATGCGTCATTTGGCAAGGGAACGAATATTGTATCAGTAGGCACATACCGCTCATGTCGATATTTTCTAACTAAATTGTTCATCTCTATGAGGGGTTCATGAATATCTGTACTGTCGACCGCAAGTAAAATGTCTTTATATGTATCAAGTCTATAAATATTAGGAATGAATTGCAATCGACATTCGTTATTAAGTATGAGAATGTATTATATCATTTATTTGATATCAAATATACATTTATATGATAAATATATGATAAATTCCTCGTTTGGAAACACATTTTCGCAAGCTTTACAATTATACAGGCTCATGGAATCGTACTATTTTAATTTTATTTTTATTTTTTTTAAAGATAATAATCAAGACACAGTCTATAAAGTTTGCATCGTAACGATAAGAACCCGGCACATTTTGACTGGAACCAAACACGCTAGATCACGTAGATGGCGCCGGGATCCTATCACTGCGATGCAGACTTTATGGGGATTGTGGCTTGTTTGTAGTTTGTATGGCTACTTCTATTTAAAGTGTGTGAATATTCCATAGTTTGATAGCTCTCTGACGCTTCAGTTTGGTAGGCCTGAACTCAAGACACTGGATACAAACTCTGTCCCTCATCGTGGTCTGGTGGATTGATCGTCTGGCCAGAGCGGAAGGGGTGTTGTTCGATCACCGGCCGCGTCATAACATGGCCAGAAGATGTTAAGGGGTGGTAAACTCGGCATTACGGGATAAAACAAACACTAGTCAAATCGAAGAGTATACTCTCTCTCTCTCTCTCTCTCTCTCTCTCTCTCTCTCTCTCTCTCTCTCTCTCTCTCTCTGATTTCTGAACTTCATTCACCTCACCTAAGCCATGAACTTATACATGTATAGTTCTAATTTGCTTGCTGAAGTTATATTCGTGATAGCAAACTTGATCTCAAACTTCTTCCCACATGCCTCTGTGTGCGTGCGTGCGTGCGTGCGTGTGTGTGTGTGTGTGTGGCGATGCAGTACTTTAGATAACAGATGAAGCGCGAGAACCGTCAACGACATACCCCTTGGAGACGTTCATTAACAGTTGCAGAAATGCCACAGAGCATCCTAACCTTTTTGAAATGATAACATATCTGTGTTCTGAACAGAGAGTGAATGATATTCACCTCGTCCAGTACACGGCGACTACTTCCCTAAAAGATAATATGTGAGGATTGTGGGGATAGGAAAGACTCGACGATTTGAACAGAAAATTATATGACAACACAAATAGTGTGATGGAATTTGCCTACGGTGGGTTATATGCTACCATCACACCAAAGTAGTTCTATCCCGTTCTACCCCGTTCTACCCCGTTCTAAGCAATATACTAGAACAGGCTGTGATCACGGTAGAGCGCGTGGTTTGGCGTAAAATACGATGCTAGTTCGTTCATAAGCAGTCCTCAATACGTCTATCTCATTCTTAGCCAGTCTGCAGTCCGTTCGTAATACGTCTTTCTCGTTTTAAGTACGTCGTCAATCCGACTAATTGCAGAACGGGATGGACGGGGTAAAATTTTGAGCAGACTCAAAGTTCTAGAGCACCCTCCCCGTCCGAGCCTGTCCATGAAGTTTGTAAAAAGACTGTCAATAGTTGCTACTACGTCCACTACGTTCATACACAGTTGGAGCCCGTACGACAACATTTTCACGAACGTATAGAGAACTAGAGTAAACTACGGTTATAACGAACTCGAAGGGACCACTGATTTTAGTTCGTAATAACCGTAGTTCGTTATAAGCATATACACAGCATTTATACAACAAATGGTCGGGACTAAAAAAAAAGTTCGTTTTATTGGTCAGTTCGTTATAAGCGTGTTCGTTATAAACGTAGTTTACTGTAGTTTGGTGTAATGGGGGTATTACATATTTTGAAATTAGCTTAATGTATCCGCGATAATTACGTGAAAATGGTTTTAAATTGCTTATTATAATTTTCATATTCATAAAACATATTATGTGTAAAATGTATTATTTCCATCGATATCGAGAGTAGTACATCTTCATTGTAACATATCATGTGAGGAGTGAATAAAACAATGCGAAGAAAATATAACCTGGGAAATAAATTTTAAGAGCCGGTTTATAAAGAAAGTTTTCAATGGGATATAAAACACGTCATTTCGTGACCACTCGTGTCATTCCGGTACAAGCCCGCTTCGGAAAAGGATGGCGAGTGCACCATTCGTTATCACTCGCATGTTTCCGAACACGTATGTAACGGGCTTGTCCCGGAATGGCACGAGTCACGGTGAAGGGGCACATATAACACAAGGGAGATAACCAGTGAGTGACTATTATCAGCAGCACAATCGATAGTGACACGCCTTCCTTGATGGTATTAATTCGCGAGGACTGGAATAGGTTGGCACTTAACGTCCAGAAAGGTTACTGTTTCATAAAGATGTAGGAGAATTTGTTTCTGCAGTGATGCTTGAGACTGTAATTCCGTCTACGATACATACAAGGTAACTGGCTTTGAGTGTCACACATTCTAAAGGGTCAATAAAAACGTTTCTCTGAAGTATTCGTATGGTAATCACACCGACAAGTGTTCGCATCCTCCACTTCTTTAATAGAAGGTTGACACGCGCCCTATAGAAAAAAAAATACTGCTTAGTCTACAGATCCAAATTTCTCAAACGTTTAATAAGATTTTCTAAAAATAGAACTTTTTTTCTCATCAATGAAGCCGAGAAAACATTACAGAAACAACAAGCCTTCAGTGTAAGAAAATACTAGTAAATCGTTTACTTGTCAATCGGTGAAAACATGCAAGAAGTGCATATTCGTTATTATTTTAAATGTAACCTACCGATATTACTTATCAGAGTAAAGTTTTTAGACAGAGAAAGTTGTTTCAATATTCTACTGCGGCCGCGACACAACCACCACCTTTGAAGTACTGATACAAGCGCACATAAAATAACCTACTGTTATCTTAAATTTCTGATCATTGTCTCATAAGGTTTTCTCAGTCGACTTAGATCACGAGCTGAGTTTCTTTGTTTGTTGTTTAACGCTGCACTGAGAAATATTCCAGCTATATGACGGAGGTCTGTAAATAATCGAGTCTGGACCAGACAATCCAATGGTTGATATCATGAGCATCGATCCACACAATTGGAATACGACGACATGCATCAACCAAGTCAGCGAGCCTGACCACCCGATCCCGTTAATCGCCTCTTACGACAAACAGGGGTTGCTGAAGACAAGGGTAACGCCTCTTACGACCAGCCTTGGTTGCTAGGGATGAATTGTAACTCGAAATGCCCATGGGTCACGAGCAGAGTAACAATTCTCTTGATATGATACAGTGACCCTCGTTAATCCGAATCTACATATAACTAAGTGAACACTATCCGTACATATGATTTCGCCTTGAAAGCTACTGTCTGGATTAAAGAGGTTCAACTGAATATATACGTAGCTACAATAATATCGGTCGGCGACATTCGTTGAGAAACAGGCCTTAGATGTATTATTTCTTAGTGTGCATGGCTTTATCTATTTACCGTTTTATATGTACAGTTAACCCTGGTAGTCTGGTCTGTCGCATTCTCAGTGATATCGTCCGGATTAACAAGGTTCATGAGTAGTGAATCCTATGTACAATCTCATTAAAATCAGACCTATATTCTCGCTGCCGCTAAACATAGATCTGAGGACATCCCATTACGGGTCACGTCAGAACGACCTTTTATCCTACCAATGAAAGCGTCGCTTACCACATCATGAAAGTGACAGTCGGAATGTGTTTTCTGATCATGCAACCTCCAAAACGGGGTATTCCGAACGACAGTTACGGCCCGTACGACTGGTTCCGTCAAAATTATCGTCTATCTCTCGCTTCCGTGCGATTATAATTTGAACGGAGGAGGCGTTGCACAGTACGTGGGAAGCACTGCTATACAATCTCAACCATATATTAGACATTCCGGAATGTTCGTTTGTTCATTTTTCAAAATCGTAATCGAGAACTTCGTAGTCTGAATTGGAAGTCGCCAGGTTGAAACGAGTGCCGTAAAGCTCGAGAAAGCTGCTTTTCTAATTGGCTGATGTCGACCTCTTGTTGGTCATTTCAGTGGTCGGTCAAAGTTCGCGAAAGGTCGTTCTGACGTGACCCGTAATGGGATGTTCTCAGATCTTAGTTAAGCGGCAGCGAGAACTTAGGTCAGATTTTAATGAGATTGATCCTGTGTACGGTGTACGACCCCTGTGTGTTCATGTAGAATTACCGAGCAATCGTCCGGATTAACAAGGTTCACGAGAAGTGGATCCTGCGTACGGTGTACGATCCCTGTGTGTTCATGTAGAATCCCCGAGCAATCGTCCGGATTAACAAGGTTCACATGTAGTGAATCCAGTGTACGGTGTACGATCCCTGTGTTCATGTAGAATCCCCGATCAATCGTCCAGATTAACAAGGTTCACGAGTAGTGGATCCTGTGTACGATCCCTGTGT